ACTGGTTTGAGGCCTGAAATCACGTGGTGGTCAGTCAGCTGTTTTGTAAATAACTTTACTGCCACTGTAGCAGCAAACCGCTTTGTTCAGGGTTATTGCTGGGCTGGCCAGTAATGGATGACAGATGCTCTCTATTGACCCCTCCCCAGAAGGGGAAGGGAGACAGAATAAGGAAGAGAGACTTATGGGTTGTAAAAGAAAACTACAACAGCTTTAATGAAACAATAGCAAGAAAAGATAAATAATCTTAATAAGAAAATATGTACAAATATACACAAAACCAATACCGAACACAACCCCCCTGATAACAGTACGTCACTACTGATGCTGCAGGGCTGGCACTGGGGCAGTCCCAGGCTGGACTCAGCAGCAGACAGGATGCAGGAGCTGGGTTCAGGAATGCACAGATCGGGATCACGGACAGAACAGACACGGTCCTCCTTGGATGTCAGCCGTCAAGGAAGAACTTAGCTGAGCTTTATACTGAATATGATGTGTATGGGATGGCATACTTAGTTGGTCAGTTTTGGGTCACCTGTCCTGTCTGCCTCTCCCTGCAGGTGTGACCTTTCACTTTGCTCTGACCCTTTTTTACTTCCAGCATCTCAACACAGGATACAGAATTTAGCAGTGACCTTGGTTGTCTACAGGAGCGAGTATAAGCGAGAGCCTTTCTGCATCCCATTCCTTGGTATTAGCTGTAAACATCAAGCATTATCACTGCTAGAAGCAGTCACTGTCTGGAAAAACAAGCTGCAGTTTTTCAGGAAGTGCATTTAGTTAGAAGAGACTCAACTGAAAAGTAAAATCACTGAACAGAATTAGTTCTGGTTTAGCTCAAGCCAGGACACCCTTTTTCACAGTTCCTTCTTTTTAAGAATACTGAATGCAAGTAATGGATGAGAGGAACTGTGGACATGCTTTTGGGGATGGCAGTTCTGTTGGCTTTCTTTATGGCTTTTAACATGGGCCTATGACCTAGAAGAGTTTGAGAACCAGTATCTGTGTAGCAGCCTTTATGCCTATTGCTATTGTTAAAACCTTTTTTACCATTGCAACAAGGAGATCTGAAACTAGTCTCATTTACTAACTTAATTGGAGTTACTCCTGATTTACAGACTGGATAGCATAGGTATTATCAGAATCTAGCCTGTGGTTTTGTTTTAACTACAAGGAAGATAATTTTTCTAAAGCCTTGAAGTGAATGGAGTGCCAATGCAATAGCCTCAAAGTGAGCACAATGGGGTTCTACTTTTCTAGTGTACAAAACCAGAGCACAGCTGGCTTTTCCACCTGTCTATACTTCATAGCGTGGAGTGATTTCCCCCTAGCCATCTTCAGGTTCCTCAGTTCCTCAGTCAGTGTCAGATGCTAATTTAAGGCCTCAATCTTCATCTTTAGCTTGAACCACATGAAGCTCATTCATCTTAACTAGATTAAATTTTGATCAGTTGTTCATAAGAAATGCCCCCATGGTGCAACACAGGTTACAAAGACTGTGTGGTAGCCAGGGTCAAAATCTCAAACTCTTCCTCCCCGTCTGTGCCACTGAAGCAGGGAGTCCAGTTGCCTGGGAGTACTAGATTGACAAGGGACAGAGATTCCTACAGAGAATGGTTTAGATTTCAGATGTGCTGAACTGCCCTCCGAAGGTGTCTCTTGGCCTCTCTCGGCTCTGCACAGAGTCCAAAGTTACTAAGCTGGGAGGTGGAAGATAAGAGAGCCTAAAGTGAAATGGGATGTATCTGACTAAAATGTTTGTAAGCGCTGTAATCTGGCCTTGGGCAGATCAGGCAAACTCAAAGGCAGGCCACATTTTTAGGTGCTGCTTGCAAAACCTTCTTTTTCAAATGAAAGATTCCAGCTAGCAAGATGAAAAACAATATTCTACTGAAATTGGCAGCCAATGGAAAGAAATGAAATCACGCAGGCAAGAAAAAAGCAACAACACGGGGGAAAAAGCACACTTTCTTAAAAAAACATGCAGTTAACAATACCCATTGGATAGCCCTTCTGTCTCTGCTGTTACAGATGAGTAAATGGAGGCGTCGGAGATGTTCCTAAATTTACAATATCAGGTCAGCTGCGTTACCACACCCTGTGTAACAAAACCAGTGCACCTTTATCTCTAAAATGTAGGCTTATCTTTCATAACCTCTTTTATTTCTGTGCCTTTTGAAATTACAAATAATCATTTTCATTTCCAAAGCAACATGCGATTCTGCCATGTTTGTGCATGTATGTGTATCTAACAGTGCTGACTTGCTTCAGTTGTGATCTTCTGATCTCATCTGGTTTTGTTGTTGTAGTCAAACATACCTGGTATGCAGCTTAATTCAGCAAAACCACTCCTAGCTGACCTGAAATACTTTCTTATCATTCTAGTGCATGTAACCACAGCCCTGAAAATGCTGCCTTTTGTAAGTCTGTAAGTATCAGTACAGCAGCTCTACTTTTCTTGGAAGTATAAGCTTGTCTGCAAAATGAGAACCAGATTACAGAGTATAAAAAACACCCCAAACCCCATGTTTAGATACAGAAAAAAAAAGTGAAATTAATCTGGAACTTTTGCACACAGTTAAAAGGAAATTTTTACTTAATGTTTGTAGTTATTTTTTTTGTATAATTGCAGGACAATAATATTTTGTTAACAAGTCAAGTCCTTAATTAAAATTAAGTCAATGGAAAGAACAGAACTCTTTTGCTTATTTAAAAAGTTGTGATCGGGAGAAATCAAAAGGAATGTGTCATGGAGTATCTATTACATTAGTTTAAAAGAACAATTAATATTTAAGTGAGTCCCAGGAATTTGGAGAGTAAATACATGACTCCAGAATCTATTCGTGCTAATATTTTCATTGAACCGATTAAAACGTGCAGGAGATTGTCATTAGACAAAGTAGTATGCTGCTCTCTGGTAGCTGCATCGGAACAGATTTTGCAAAAGGCAAGAAATTACCCAGCAATGACTTAAATCACTGTGGTGCGTAACCTGGTAGGTCCTGTACAGTTGGACGTACTACTACCTTTTGTAAGACGTGAGATAAAATAGACAAAGGTCATATTTTCTTTAGACAAGTGAAAGCATTTACCTGCCTAGTCTGCCTGTTTCAGAGTAAAACATCAGGACCCCATGCAGCTTATGCTGTCATACAGAAAATTACTTGTTTCTTCTCCTCTGTTCCTTAGGGGACATCTGTTCTTTGTGTTTACCTCCAGATACTGCAGTTTTCATGTATGTGATCTTTCAGTAGTGCTGCTTCACGTATGTTTCCTAGAGTATATTTATTACTGAATTCATAGAGCACCTAATGTGCCACCCATCTGGAAATTCTAGAATCATAAATCTAAGCTTTTTTTCATCTGACTCCATTTCAAATAATTTTGCTGCATCTTTCTTTAATGAGATGTTCAAAAGCATATTTGTATGACTACACACATGCATATTTGTATATGTTTATTCAGAACACTGCAGAGCACTGGCAAAGGATAGGCTATTTTTCTGTAGCTAATGTAATCAGAAAAGATGCTTTGAACTTTTCTAATAGAAAGTGCACAAAATTGTGGGGAAGTATGGACAACAATGAATCATTATGCTCATTTTCATGCCTTAGATGTCTAGGTCTCTGCCTGACCATCTGTATTAATGCCTTTTCTGCGACCATTTGTCTGTTTACAGTTCAGTTTAAGGTAACAAAGCAAACTATGAAATTGTGATTAATACTTCTCATAAGTAGTTAGGCAGACAGTTAAAGGACTCTGTATTGTCCTACTGCTGGAAGCGATCAGCTTTACGTGAGGTGCAGTAACAGTGTACTGTGCAAGAAAAAAATCAAATAGGGCCATTGAAGCCATTTCCTTTTGTGTTGGAAAGAAATATTGCTCGGCTCTGGTTGTTTACTTATTGCGTCTCAGCTGATGTGCAGAAACTTCCAGCTAAGGAAGATGTACTAGCTGGATCATTTGTTGTGAGCGAAGCATGTCATGAACATACTTGTGGACATATCCAGAAGCAGAATAGGCAGACGATTTGAGGGTAGTCTTTTTTAAGGGCAGCATTCTTCAACTACAGCTGGTGCAGATTAGGAAGCTACTGCCTCCTTTTGCTGACTGCCAGGCAATCCCACCCTATCCTATAGCGGGATGTTACCAGTCCATGTGATCTGCTAGTGTAAATAAACTCTGTGCAGAAAAGCAGCAAAGCAATCCCATTCTGTCAAAATGATTCAGATAAAAACACTAATAAACCTATATTCTTTACCTTAAACTAGACCATGTTAATAGAACAAAGAGTTAAGGAGTCATTACGTATGCATCAGGTAAAGGTGGTAAAATCTCTGCAGGAGATCAGACACCACCTGGAACAGTAATTCTGTCTGTGTCGTCTGACACCAACAGACTTTACAAAGTATATTTAAATGGCAGCTTTGAGGAGAGACACATTAGAATTTGACTTCAAATGAGCAACTGAGGAGCTTAAATCCTGAAATAACTTTGAGGACCTGGGTCAGTATTCCTAAAATACTTGCCTAACATAGCACCTGTACAGCAGACTGAAGAAGAGATTCCTTACCTCAGCCCTGCAGTCACCCACAGTCCATTAATTGTAGGTTAATTATTCTAGACTTCTGAAAACTAGATAAGGGCAAACCCTATGGCATTAGGAGGACCGTCAACTTCTGTTTAAATAGAACATTTAGCATTTTGAAATGAAAGGAACTAATCTTACATGTACCACTGAAAGAAGTTTTACATTTCAGATCCGGTGTCATTTGTATTATATTTCAGCTTTATCATTTCTAGTCAGCTTTATCATTTCTAGTCAGTTAATATACCGGTTGTAGTAGAACAAGTGAATTATTAACCTAGAAAAAAATTCAGCAATTGAGATTAAGTTTAATAGTTATTCTGATTGTTGTAATTCATGGAGTGTAAGAATACTGTGCATTGTTAGTAATAAGTTTTCAAATCATATAATCTAAAATATGCTTCTGCTGCAGGTCATGGGATAACAGCAGTAAAGGAAAAAGCAGGAACTACCCTAGGAATTCATAATGCAAGTTCAGTGCCTTTGGAAACAGCAGAGCCTCCTGCAGCTGAAACACCAATTATACGTAAGTTGAAGTTCACTGAAATTGGACAAAACTCTTTGACACTGCCAAATTAGTCCAATTTACAAAATTTTAAGATTTTGATCACGAAGTCCAGTTTACTGTAATTTGTGACTTGCAGAGCTGAAAGTATGCTGTATCTTGCTTTTTTTTGCTTTTGTTAGAAGCAGAAGATACTCTGGACCAAAGCTTTTCTGAGAATATTCCTTCTTCTCCTTCATCTGGATCTCGTGGCGTGTTGTCAGCTATCACTAATGCTGTACAGAACACAGTGAGTCATTTTAGCTGGCCTGTCTGCTCTAGTTATTCTTCATCATTTTTAGGTGCAACTTCACTGTAGGTCACATTTGTTAAGTTGTAGGTCTTTGTAAAAACAGTTCTGTTGTAAGGCTGTTTAGAGTCTCCTCCATGGCAAAATAACTGTATCAAATTTAAAAAAAAAAAAGTCATCAAACATCACTAGGTCAGTTACTACTTTGGTACCAGTTTCAGTGAAAAATACAGTCTTCTCCTAAACTGTACAGAAATCTGCAAATTCTTGGGAAATCTTTTCTATAGCTGTGGTACCATCATCTAAATTTTTTTTACAGTTGAGTCCTTCCAGAGAAAGTATTATAAGATTTGTAATCGTTTTTGAAGGCATTTACTTTTTTTCACTTAAACTCTATTTGCTTATTTTAAGGCTTTTACTAAACTCTGTATTGTTAGTCCCTGGCCCTTACCTTCACCTCTTCAGTCTCATTTCGCATTAGCCTCCCCAGAAGGTGGTCTCATTGCGGGCTCAGTAGGGGCAAAATCTTTTGTTACACTCTCTGTGTATTTTCTGTGTGTTGCACTTCATCCATTTCTGGTTTTCTGTGTTCCAGCTTTTGCAAAATCCTGTACCATACTGTTTCCAAAGGAATTTTGGTGTTATCTTCTTCCCCAACATTTTTTACACACTATTACCATAGCAAATGTTTTTCTCTGAGCTTTTCAGTATCGTGTTTCCCTTGAAATTGTAAGAGACTTTAAGCATCGGCTAAAAAAGCATAGAAGACTAACTCCCCATTGACCATGTTTCAGTTCTTTTTAGTGCATTTCCAGGTCACACTGAGTGCCTCACCACTCTAATATCAAAGATTTGGGGAGCAGAGGGAGATTCCTTTAGATTATTCCTAAGACTGTTGCTACAGAGTCTGGAGCGTCATAGGGCCTGTGAGAGCCAGATGCCAGAAAGATTACCTGAGCATTGTATAAGATATGCAAATAAGAGAAATGTGCTGTTATGCAAACCTAGAGAGGCTACTGAGTCACCAAACAAAGGGAATAACTTAAGATCTCGGTAAGTTGCCTGTAATGCCATTTGAGGCTTTGGTAGGGTTTTTCATCATATATTAGGTTACACCAGCATTTGAGTATCTGACAGATGCATAATCCAGATTGAAATGGAAATCCTTAGTCAGTGAAAATTATTCTTCTGTGTACATGAAAAACTGAGTGAGGGACAATGCTAACATGAAGACACAGGGAAGAAACCTATTTTGATAGACAGTTCCAGGGTCATTGCAAATGTCAAAATTTTAGAAAACGTTTTGGTAAGGCAGGGTCATCCTGTTCACGATGGACTTTAGCTCCATATTACTCATATCTAAAATATGTTCCCACAAACTAGATGCCACTTCAGAAGAAATTAAAGTAGTTTTATTCATAATTTTTTTTATTGGCAACAGGTGTTCCATTTCCTCCAGTGTGAGTCTTTTAATTAGCTAGAAATACTTGTAGAGTTCGTTTTTTTCTCTTTGAAAATGTATTCAGAACAAAGTGACATAGTTTTATGAATGTATCAATCCTATTGTTAGTTAAAGCCTAGTAAATCTAGGGACCTGAATGTTCAAAGACAGTGTTGGCAAAAGCGATACTGTTTACAGTTCATGTTAGCATAAAGTGGAAAGCAAATAACCACATTGCATTATTTTATACAGGGGAAGAGTGTATTATCCGGAGGCTTAGATGCTTTGGAATTTATTGGGAAGACAACCATGAATGTCCTTGCAGAAAGCGATCCTGGATTTAAGAGAACCAAAACACTGATGGCAAGAACAGTTTCTCTATCTCAGGTTGGATTTATTTAAATACGGCTCTGTCAATGCAGTTTCATATTCTTTTTCCAGAATTTCAGATGCCTCAGGGAGAGGCTTTATTTATTGCAGTAGATACTGTCTAGGCTTATGGAAATAAATGTTATGCTTTATATGCTCTACTTTATTTTTCTTCACAGAACCACAAAAGATAATGTAAAATCATCTTTTCTGCATAATCACATGTGCAATAGCTGATTTTAATAAGATAGTGTATGTGGCGATAAATCATTGCACTCTGGAGACAGAATCGAATTGTTGCTGTTTTTGTAACAGCTGTAGATAGATACCTTCCAGCATAAACAGCACTATACTACTTTCCTTGGAAATGAGTAATACTGGAATATGACACATGTTTCATTAGGAATTAAAGCTATGAAAACTTATAACTTAATGTGCTTCTAAACTAATAGTACCCTTACACAGTTGTGACTTACATGTTTAAAAGGTCAGAAACATGATAAAAACAGAAGTGTAAGTGCTGTTAGTACAAAATTATTTTCGCTCTCCAGACACTGAGAGGAGGGAGGCTGTGAAAATCCATAGACATTGAAAAAAACTGTAATTTTACTACATGTTTACTTCTTATAGAGAGGAGTAAGGTATTTTTCTTTTAGTGAGATGTTTCATCTTCAGTGTTTGTCATTGTAAGTGTGAATGGACTGATACTGTTGTAGTAGGCCAGAAGCAAGTAACTCTCGTTAAGGCCCACAGGGTTAAAATGAGCTTTTGAGAATACCTTCCTAAACGATATGCATGAATTCACACGTAAAATCTGAGGCAGACAGTGACATAAATCAGTTCTCATTGATCACATAACACAGTGCTTCCTTTTCAGTGATTTGTACATAAAACTTTGTGACTGATCTTTTGAAGGTAGAGACTGAAAAATCTACCATCATAAGTCTTTTGTAACAAATGAAGACTGTATTGTAGAAATTTCGAATGATGGCATAGTGTAAGTGGCAGGAGTTCACCTGTATTCAGAGCCTTATGTGTGACCTAAGATGCAGTTCAGATGTATTTACCAGCTTTACTGTAGCAGATTCATACAAGAGGCCATTCCTTCCTCGGAACAGAAGGAAGGAATAGAAGATCCTATTCTATACACTATTCTATCCTTCTTATACACTAATAGAAGTGTATAAGACGATCACTCCAAAATATCCGGAAGTATATGGAGTGTAGCTCTGCCCCACCTTTGGTAGAAGTCATACCTTATTAGGCCAATCACTTTTGTCAGCCCTACTGTCACAGAAAACTGACTTTAGTATATGCTGAAAATATTTTATAGAAAATATTTGTGTAGGTGCATTATTTTTGCAATAGGTAGGTGGGTCCTGAAAATAATATTGTTCCCATTTTGTTGTCTGTGGAATGGATTGCATGACTCTTAAAGGCTGTGTATGAAATAGCCCTTTTTATTTCTTTCATTATAATGGGTGGCTAAATTTATGATACGGTATCCATAGCTGATACTGCTTTTGAGAACATAAGCAAGATTATTCATTTGTTCATTGTTTTTTAAAAAAAGATAGTTAGCAATTACCATTGAGAAAACCACACTTAGAATACTACTTAAATATTTTATTAGAGAAGTTTATAAAAAGAAGTTAGATATTTTAGCTCTAAAATTTCAGTTCTGCAGGTGTGATATCGTCCCAAATTTTAATACTTCTTCCTAGACAAGCAGAGGCAGAAACTAATAAAATGTGTCACGCTTACATTGCTACCAATAAACCAACAGCGATTATGTCTATTTTTGCAGCTGTTGCGAGAAGCTAAAGAAAAAGAGAAACAGAGGCGGGCCCAGCAGGTTACGGTTGAACGAACAGCACATTATGGACTGCTTTTTGATGAATTCCAAGGTTTGTCTCATCTTGAAGCTCTGGAAATCCTGTCAAATGAAAGTGAAGCTCAGGTACAGTATGCAGACAGTGTAAATCAAAATGGTTGTTAAAAAAATGTTCTTTACGTTAATTTCATTCTGCAGGTGCATGTGGAATGAACACCAACTTCAGAGAAAGCTGGATTGGTCGCAAGGGCCAGTCCTTGGCTTCAGGAAATCAACACCTAAAATTTAACTCCAAGATTAACTCAAAACAAACAACTTTGTAACTGAAAGTTATTTTTGTTAGGACCATATATAGTGTGTATTTTTCAGCTTGTGACACTGTGCAGATCTTTTCAGGATTTGCAAGGAGATTGAAGTCTTTTGGTTTTGTATCAGGCACTGATGCTTACATTCAGGAATTCCAGACCTATTACACCTGGAGGCTAGTGAATTAAAATGAATTCCAGATTACTGGAAAATCAATTCCTAAGCCTTCTTATTGTGTTAGTTTTTAAGTGTACATAAAACTACCCTGAGATATTATTACTGGCAGTACAAAAATGTCTGTCTGAAGAGCACCCTAACATTGCTAAGGCCTATACAATAAATGTATTTTTTAATTTCAGCTGTTAATTTATTGACTCTGCTAGTAGATCAGTAGATCTCTGACAGTAGATTAATAGAATTTTGTAGATTCCGAGCTGTGGTATTTTGTACTTAAACAGTTTTCTGGATAAATTTCTTAAAATACAGGGTTTGTTCTCTTATTTTGTACTTTTTTGTAATTAGCAGTCTTTGCCCTCTGGGTTATTTTTAATAAAAAATAACCAACTTTTAAAAATGTTTTATTTCCTCACACAAGTAAGAGAAGCTTATACTAATAACAGCTAGGTACGTAGTGTCCATGTTGTTTTTATTTTTTGCAATTATGTTTAAATGAAAAATTATAAATCCAAAACCCACATGCAAGGTTCAAGGGCCTGCTTTTGGAGAAAAAAAAAAAAGAAAGAAAACAAAATCAAAACCAAAAAAACTCCCACAAAACAGGAAAGAGATAAATAGAAAGCAAGTTCAAGTTAATTGTACGTGTCAACACTATTTTTCTTGTACTGTGAAATACCACAGCGTCAGTAAAACTTGTGCAGGTTGTTACCATGAGGTTCTGATGTGCTTCATCTTATGGCCTAGGTAACCCCTTGTTCACAGAGGTTACTCACTCCAACAGGATTGAAGGCAACTGTGTGGGTCAACAAGTCCAATTCCCTGATAAATATTCCAATTTCCATACATACACACACTAAATACATACAGTACTGTAAGCTTGAGATGTATACTAACAGCCCAAAAACCACAGGAGGTGTGCAAGAGAAACTGAAGGCATTGCTAATGCCCCGTGTGCTTCTAATAGCAGGGATTTTAAAATATTTTTAAGCCTTTATTTTAAAAGTTTCCATTAAAAAAAGTTCCAAATTAATCCTATGAAATGGATAATGCTATAGAGAGGGACAAAAAAGCTCTAGGTAGTCCTTCACAACCTGAGTTGCGTCTCCCAACTTTATCTTGCATTTAGTCTTAAGCATATGAGTTGGACACGTCAAGGAGGAACATAAGAAAATAACATCTTTCTCCAGTCTCTTGCTGAGCCAGTCTGCATGTCTGTCAAGCAATCTTGAAAAAACCCGCTTGAAACAAACCAAAAAGTAAAATTTTGTATCAAGGGGAGAGAAGGCATTTCTCTTGGCTTCCAGGGTGTGATCATGGGGTTAACACCAAGTAACTGCAGTGCAAACAAACAGTGATTTGAAGAATCTGTTTCCATCCCTCTTAGGCATGCCACTTTATTAGATATGCAGGGACTTGCAGATACCTGAGACATGCAGAGACCTGTCAATACATTCTTCAGAACAGGTAGACTGGCAGGCTGTCAATAATTTTGGTTGCATTTTGAAGGATGAGAAACAGACTTCTTTTTTTCAGCTCTTTCTGCGAGCACGCAGACTAACCATGAATTCTGTGCTCTTTTTACCTGCCGTTTTCATCCCAGCAATCTCAAAATGCTTGTTACGGTTCACATTTAAACTATAGATTTATAATTCAAAACTAATGTTCTGGGAGAAGGTAGAGACCTGATGATCTTGCAAGGCTGGTGTAATTTTTGTGATACTCAGCAAATTTTGTTGATGAGATCTAAAAGTGTGTCTACATTGAAAGGTTAGAGACAAGATTTGAGCAGAATGGAAGTTTCAATTCCTTAGCCTATTTTGGTATCAGGCTCTAAATTAGCAATTGAGAAATGCTCTGGTTTGGTTAGGAATTCTTACTGTCCTTTCTTTCAACAGATTCAGTTATACTTAGCAACGCTTCGTGGAGAGCAGTTGGAAGCTGTGAAAAATGATTTAATTGCTATAAAAGAGATTTTTGTTCCAAAGGAATCAGATGATGGAGTGGGGCAGGCACAGAAAGGTAATTAGAAATACGGACACTTAACCATTTGAATAGTTGTTGCTTTTGTGTATAGTAATTTTAAAAATTACAATCCAAACTATAATTTCTGTTTGTAGTATCTGTTTATGAAATTGTGTGATCTGCAAGTTTTGGAGGATTTAGATCTGCTTTTCTGTTGAGCAACTTCATCCTCACTTTGCACCCTCCCTTGCTAGACAGAGAAAAAGATTAGAGTGTAATAAGGAGCCTTAAGAACCCTGAGCTTTTTGAAGGAAGCTCACTTCGAAACAGTGGCAAAGCTGCTTTCTAGGTACTACCTGTGGAGTGTGAGAAAGAAGTTAAAGCAGCAGAAGCGTGACCTGACTATGACAGCATTGAAGAGAATGGGACCAGCATGACAGTCCATAGTCAGTTCACAAAAGTTACAATAAAATGGGTGAGTGCTTTGGTTAGGGGCAAAATAGGTATCTTAAACAGGTCAGGAGTTTTGGCATTCCCCAGAACAGACTGAGAACAGAAGGATAAGAAGCTAGCTTAAAGCCACCATAGTTCACTTCTCCAGGCCTGTGAGATACATAGCAAACCTCTTCTAGCTAATAGAAACAATCCCCTTGACCTGGCTGAAGTCTGGCTTATGCCATTGAACGCCATATTGTTGTGTTTGAGAAACACAGAAACATAAAAAGATGTTTCTTCCACATCCTCTTGATCTTCTCAGGGGTGCTTTGCCAAAAAATCCTACGTTTTGCAAGATGGTGAGGTATGATTTCTCTCACTTTCAGAAAAGTTAGAAAAACTATGTTAGCATCCACATGTTCTAAATGGAAAGTCTTTTCCACTCGGACTGCTCTTTTTAGCAGCGCTTACTCAGTATGCCTGATGTCTCTCACAGGGAGCTTACTGTTTCTTCTCAGGGGGAGACTGCAACTGCTCTGTGTAAAGTCAGTATGGTAGAGTTTTGTGCTGTTTTTTTTTTTCCTTGTTACTCTTTAAAACACTGCATCCCTTTGTGGGGTTGTGAGAAAAAGAAGTCAAGAAAGTGTATTACCTGCTTAAGAGTGAGTATTCATGAGATGTCTGTTGTTCCTTAATTTCTGTCAGAAATAGTTACTTGCTTTGAAACCAGACCCCAGGAAAAGCTCTGTTTCTTGCACAAAGCGGTGTTTTCTCTGGTGGTCAAAAGTTCTATTTTTCAGTGAAGCACAGCTGCTGATCATGCTGAGACATTAATTGGCCTTTTAAATAGGCTGGGATCAAGGCAATGAGCACCTTAAAAAAAACCCCAAAAAACCCAAATCAGAGCATGCTGCAGGTTTTCCCCTGAAAAAGCAAACCAGTCAGCAGTGAAACATACCCTCCTCTCTGTGACAGCAGAAATAATAACCGTGCACGTGTTCTCTCCACCTTACCACTGAATGGGTGTTACTTCAGGCTGCGGGTCAAAATGCCTCACGTCCTTTAGTGCGATCAGACTCCAGATTTATTAGGATTTGAACTGCAGATAAATGTCATTTATTAGTATTAAGTTGGATAAATTTTAGTTCCACTGGGGGACACCGAAAGAATAGAATCACTTCTCAGAGTAGCTACTAGAGCTGAGCCTACAATTCTGTGCTCAGGCTCCTAACCTCGGATGTGTGACCTTTGCTTCCTTCTTCAGCCTCTCACTCGTAATCAATAGTACAGGCAGCACTGCACTGACAGTGCTCTTAACACTGTATAGTCCATTCTAGAAAGTGTCCTAGTCTGGGTATCTTTCCCAGTCACAAAAATGCGTTGTCTTCATTAAAGTCTTGTCAGAGTGAATGAAGGCTTCTTATGATCTTCGTAAGTCAAGGGAAAAAGACCTTTTCCTGAGTTTCTTAATGCACAGGATCGTAAGTGTTTTTATTAAGTGCATTTATGCAGCACATGCATAAAACCTTGTAAAACTTAAAGAATTCCATTAATAGGCCTTTACATGACAATTCTCTGCTATTTTTAGATAAAAACCAATATCCAGCATCTTTCCATGTAATGTTGTGTGTGATTTGCATGTCAGTTTCCCCTCTTGGAGCACAGTTCTGTGGAACAGTTTAATGTTTCATTGATACTTAGTTTGCTAGTCTTTACATAATTTAAATTGGATTCCAGTGATTCGCAATTGACTACGCTTAGTATTCTCGTCATATTTTAGAAATAAGTTTAGCTTTCGGAGGGGCATCAGTATGTATCCTTCTGGGAGCACACTTGATCTTTCAGGGTCTAGGTTTGAGTTCTTTGGCATTTGGGTTTTTTTTAGACTGGCATTGTTTACCTGAAATGACTTGTTGGGAGCTTAAGCAATTTTCTGTGGCGTAATTAATATTTACACTAAGAAAATGGTCTGTGTTTAATGTTACAAAAAGTTTTAAACATCATTTGGTATCCAGCATAGATAGAAGAAAGTAAAGTTTAACAACAGGTTTGCTGATCAGGATTAAATGCAGCTCATGTCTTGCTGTGAAGAGAAGGCTTCATTTTAGTTTGCTTTCTTAGCTAGTTAACTCAAGCTAGTTAATACAATTAAGTTCCTGTTAAGCACGTTAATAGGTTTTGCATTTATAAAATCAAGTCAGTAAGCCATATGCTCTTTTAATAGCATATTTTTAATATAGAATTATGTATTTTTACTGAAGCTAGCTGATCTAGCAAGAGGTAGCAGGCTATGTTAAATTCTGTGGAAGAATTTTGAGTTTTAATCCTGCTTGCTAAACAGTTTAAAACTACAACTAACTTGCTTCCAGTAGGATTTTGATTTGTGCTTCCTAATTCAATAAAACTTTTTTTTTTTCTCTTTATGTAAGGAAACCACCTCCCTACAAAAGACAGAGATTAACTAATGGTGTTTGAAAATGTTAAAGTCTTGTCTAGCCACTGAGCAGTATTTGAAAACAAGTTAATTACCACTTATTGCTAATTTGTTACCGCTTTCTCATCATCAAAGTCATGGTTTTTTTATGGTGTCATTTGTCAGTGGTCTATATATTCAGCAAAAAGAAGACTAGCTGGGAGGAAAACCAGTACTTTGGATTCAAGTGTTTGAAAATTGTGGCTCTTTATGTAAACTCGTAGGATCCTGTCTTATCCCAGACTCTCAGGATCTCTTTCAGAGACATCAGTGCTGCTTTTAGTTTCTATCACAAACACTTTCAGTCCTACATAAGGAGAAATTACTGCAGTGATCTTTGGAGGACTGTCTGGGAAAGGATTGGGGCTAGGCTTTGTTCTTGGCAACTTTGAAACTGGAATCATTTTTTTGTGTCTTTCCTTAACAATCAGATAAGTACAAAATCAATATGAGAAGAAAGAAAAGGAAAAGGTATTTTCTGACACAAGTAGGAGAAAGCCAAATGCACACTTCTCTCTAATGTTTTCTTTCACTTTGATTATGCAATCCTTTCATGTATTTTTTACTGCAGCTTCTTTTCCTTTCAGTTATTTAGGAAATAATGAGAGGATAATATCTGAAAAAGTAGCTTTACCTACATTTTGAAAGCAGTTAAGACCAAATATTTCACGTGTGAGGTTAAGGGAGATGGTAACCGAAGTGAGTATTGAATTGAATATGCTAGTTATCAACAATTTTGGTAATTTTGCATCAATCCAATGAACTGCTTATCAGCTTTCAGCATGCTGCAGTTTATAAAACAACTTGGCATTGTTCTAAAAACAAATTAATTCAGTGTATCCAAGAGGTGCTGTATTGCAAAACCTGAAAAGCCTATTGCCAAAATTTACTGATAAGGGCAGCAATGAAATGAACTACGTGTATCTCTTCAGCCTGCCAGAATACAGTCTTCTAGACCTGTTCCCCTGCTGTTGAGAGGAAAGCTCAGCCTCTTGGTCATGGCAGGTGAAGAGTTCTTCATGCTAAATACTAATTTATTTTATAGCACCAAAGATGGGCACTCTCTTCACAAGCAAGGGCCTTCGCTTTGGGAGAGTATGATCTGAGTGTCAGATTCCACCACCTTTCCACGTGTTGCAGGGCACTGCAGGCTGTGAACAGCTCCACCAAACTCATTGGAGAGTAATGGCCTGCCACTTTTAAGCCCAGTGTTGAAGATTTGCATAAAAGTGGAAAACTGGCCCTAGCTAGTAAATGAACAAAAAAAGCGGGAATACAGCAAGACATTAATGAAATTAATTTTTGAAGTAGCTGGACTTTTGTCAGGCTTGGTATGGGGACTTTGACCTTTTAGCGTCATCAGGCTAAAAACCCTGGATTTCGTATATTCCGGCAGGAAATGTTAATGAAGATTCCAAACTCAGTAAGTGCAGATGAACAGAACCAACTGAAATACCAACTCTTAGGAACTCAGAACATGTTAGAATATGGCAACTGCAAGTAGTCAAAGGAATATATATATGATAAAGATGAAGTTCGAATACTAGTGATATTTATCTTTGCTCATAAATCTTTTGAAATAAAAGTGCAGATTCTTCAAAGCGTGTTACTCCAAAGCGGAACAGAAAACATTCTTCACTTAAGCAAAGCTCAATCTTAAAATAGAAATGAAATACGCCTCTAAGCTGTGGTTTGCAGACAGAGCAATAGAGAACATGTTTTGCAGTATGTTTCCTCTGAAACTTACTTGTATCTAGCCCTGCTGCAGTTTTTATTCCTTGGTTTGAAAGAATAGGTTAGTATCCCTTCTCTGGGTATTTTGTGGGTTATGTATTTTTGTCAGATAACTAGGGATCGTGCAGCTGCTTCTCCTCTTATCTGTTTTTGTGAAGCTTAGTGGAATTTAGAATGAGGTGGAAAGGGTAGTCAGGTGTCAAGCTGGCATATCTGGTTGTACAGGTGTCTACTGTTTCCTGCTTTATTTGAGCATACACACACACACCCCCACACCCCTTTCCTGTATCAATGTTGTCACTGTTTTTCAAGCACTAGAGTGCTTGGGGAAGCTATTTGACTGGATGTATTTGATCACGTAAAATGTTATCGTGCTAACACCCTAACAAAAATTATCTTGTTTTTTCTTGCAGCAGATATGGGAGAAGAGTTTGTCAGCATGCTCACTGAACTGCTGTTTGAATTGCATGTTGCTGCTACTCCGGACAAACTTAATAAGGTTAGCGCCTGTTAGTGAGCTGCCCTCTGTTCCTTGGACAAAGTGGGAGGCCTTTGTTGTGAAATCCGACACAGAGTAGTACCTCGCTCAGTTCAGACAGTTCAGAAAGCAAAGTGCAGGAGGGTGGGACTAAAATGAGGAATACAGAAAAGCTTTCATAGAAGCAGTGAGATTAGTAAGGCAATACAGTTGCAGTGACGAGCTAGCACAGTGGGCTGTGTTAGAAGGCCTTGAAGCAGGGATGTCTCAGCAGAACAGAGTTCATGAGCTCAGCAGATTTGGTCTGTCATACGGGAAACAAAGGTCAGGTTCAGAATTATTTTTCTTGCTCATCATGTTTATTCTCCTCAGGGACTTCTCCCGACCTTGTTAGTTAGAAGCAGTGTCTTGGATTTATCTCATCTAGCTTCAATCATCTAAAAGTCAGATGGCTAGAAGCTAGTCCCATCCCTAGTCACATTTGTACTGTCAGGCCCCTTTAAAGGTGACTCACCTGCTGACTGTAGGCTCAGAATATTTTTCTCTCTAGCTACATAGACTGTGGATAACTAGCTTAAGCTTAGGTCTTAGCATATTTTAATTTCACTTCGTGTTAAAAAAGAAACATCATAAATTTCCTGCTAACTGTAACAGTAGTGTGGAGTTGTGTAAAACTTCAAGGCTTTTCCACTTTGATCTACTTTCATGCCTGGGATTGCAGCTGAAGATACAGTGATGTTCTATTTATTTTTCTTTTAAGGATTTAGTATGTCTCTTACCTCTCCGATTATTTTTTTTCTTATTTTATACCTCTTTCTTATTTTTTTATTTGGGAAAATGATTTCTGTGTAAATTGATTTGAAAGATGCCTCATTAAGCTGAAATACTAGTCGCTTTGGTATTAATGCCCACTCTGTGTGTTAGTTAGGAATATCTTACCTGTAGAGAAATTGTCCTTGGCTGATCCATCTTTATGCAGTCAGAAATGCTTCTCCCTACAGTTTCTTAATATATACACTGAACTAAATGACGCACAGAAGCTTGATATGTTTAAACTTCTGAAGGTAAAAAGGAAGTAATTAAATGTATTGTTAATTAATAATCAGGAACATCATTTAATATTGCCTATTTGAACTGAACTTTGGGGCTGGGTTCTTTGTTTGGCAGGCTAGGAAAAAAGCTCATGAATGGCTGGAAGAAGCCAGTTGTTCCACCCCAGTAGACATAGAACAGAGGCTAAAAGAAAAACCTGGAGAACCTCATGAAGAAAAGACTGAAAAAGAAGATAAGATTGACAGTGATAAAACAGAAGTAGATAAAAGCAAAACTGTGGAGGTAAAATAGCTTTTAGAGGATCAGTTCATTAAGCAAATTGTCATACCTTTTTTTGTAAGATTACTTCTTTATCTTTGTGTGTTGGTTTTATATGTTGTCCTTATTTTTTAAACTCATGGAAGTACTAAGAAATATTAATGTATAACCATTCACTGTAGACTTAATAGAAGCTTACATAAACATTTTTACTGTTAGTCTGCTCCCATAAGGAAATATCAAAGTAGCAGGTCCTCTGCCTATCACATTATTTTTATTTTGTTATACCTCTGGTTTTGTGTGTCTGCATGTGACAGTGAGCTGAGGGATTCTGTGGTGTAATGTTGATAGCATATGGAAAGTCATACCTCGGCATCCCGTGGCATCTCTTTCTCCCAGTGACAGTACATGGAAAAAAAGCTCAAACTTTATTTAAACCCTTAAACAGTTTAAATCACAGTCAGACAAAACAGACATATTACTTAGGCAACTCAAAAGTGTCCATTCTCTTTATGAAAGATAGCTCTTAAGGCTAAAAGTATCGTGTCCATCTAGACAACTCCTCTTGTTGATAATTGTGACTGAATATTTTACGCCAAGTTGTAGCAGTATTAAATGTGATTGGTATCTTTGTCAAGAGTTTTTGAATGAATTCTATTAAATTTCTAATAGAGAAAATACCTGTCATGTTTCCTTACAAAAAAGGTCCAATGAGGGAGACTGTGTATGTTACAGACGTTTGTGCGATTGCAGATTTCCAGCTGGCATCAGCTTGTGAAAGCTGTAACGCCATAGTGCTAGGCAGAATTCTTTATCATTACTGATAAAGCCACTTTTTTATTGTGAGTATTATCCCTTTCTACTCTGGAGATTCATCTGAGGGATGACTCAATGCTTTAGGCTCCATATGAAAGTAATTACGACTTATTCTAGAGTTAAGGGATCTTCATTAGGACTAGGTTTAAAAGTGTTATGTTTAAAAATCCAAGAGCTTGACCTAGTTCCCATCCAAACAAATTGTTATTACTAATTTTTCAGGATATGAGGTCTGTTTATAATCCGTGGATATTTCATTTTCCAGTATTGTTTGTGAGGATGACATTATGGCTGATATTACTTCACTATGTATATGGTGATATTTCCAATTGGGGTGGGGAGGGCTCCTGTGTTTCAAAGTCTTTTTTATATATGTATTATATATATGTGTGTATGTATGTATATTTATCAGTGTTGTTGTTATTGATTATATTATTCCCTGGTTTTAATTTAAGGAAATCTATATGCTGTCCATTGAAAGTCTCGCTGAGGTAACTGCTCGTTGTATTGAACAGCTTCATAAAGTAGCAGAATTAATTCTACATGGGCAGGAAGTAGAAAAAACCGCTCAAGATCAAGCAAAAGTACTGACAAAGTAAGTATTATGTACTTCATATGTGAACATTTGATATTTGCTTAAAACTCATGAAGTTCCATGCAGCTTTTGGCACTTGAAGGCGCGGTAAATTCATGGATCAACAAACAGTCCTGGTGCTGTATTTTCTCATGTAATCAAGTTACATAAGCTACCTGTCAGTTTTTGACATGGCTGACAAAAACAGGACCTATTCACAGGCTGAAAGCTGTTTCTGCTCCAGCAAGTACATGCTAATTTGGGTTGCATTTCCTGTCCCCTCTGCAAAAGACACTGTGCTAGCATATAGAGATTTGCTTTTAGAGTGCATCATGCAGTCTTATCTGCCAATAGGGTTTCATTATCTAGTGTTTATCTGCCAAAAATATACAAAAATCAGTCTGTAGTTCTGAACAATGAGACCACATTTGTCAGCAACTTTGTAGTAAACCACACCAAAACATACATAAATTCAAGGAGGCAGTTTATCTAGTGGGACTCCAAATTCAGATCTGAAGCTCTCTGTAGCAATCAGTTCTACTGTTCTCAGAGGGTTTTGACATTAAGATGTTGTAAGCATTTGAGTCCTAAGTAAGTAAAGTATTGAAGCAAGTGTTTATCCTTGGGAATGCCAGTAGCAATTGCAAAGTCTGTAGGGACACTTCAGTCTAAAACAATGTACTCGAGCAAGTGTTTTTCAGAACTAGAGCTAAGGTATGGTGCGCCTTGCAGGGTGAGGTTCTGTGTGATGCACTTGTGAATATTTAGGAAAACCGTGAAAGATCTAGGAATAAAACTAGATCTCCTTGTTCTTTCATATTTTATCCACAAGGGTACTTCCTCTATTAGTACAAAGCAGATGTTTTATTGCTTAAATAGGAAACGTCTCACTGTTCTCATTAAAGTTTGGTTTATTACCAACAGTATTTCTAGGAGTTGTGTTGCTGCAATCATCAGAAAAACAATAGTTAAACTAGAAGCTTACAATTTAAAAAAATGAAACATTGCCCTATCGAAAAAGGCTAGTGTTTGAGCCACCATGACATCATTTTGCTGCTGTAGTCAGCAATGGATTTTTCAGTGGAGGAGTATAAAATCTCTATCATGAACAAGGTCGACCCCAAAATATTTGAAAAATTACTAGAAGCAAAACTGCCTTAAGAACATTCTTGGCTTCTAAGATGAAGTTTGTGCCTGGGACAGTCATAGGGTTTTTATCTATTGACAGGACAAGGATATATTTTTACATTTGTCTCTATTTTTTAAACCAGTTTAACAAGTGCCATGTGCAATGAAGTTTCATCTTTATCAAAGAAGTTTTCCGATTCTTTAACAGCAGCTGGGGTAAGATAACAGCATTTTCTGTAGCATTTGGGCTTTTTAACATAGTTCACTTCACTTATTACCTGAATCTAGTGGCTTTACATGAGGTACCAGCAAAGAGGGCAAAAATTGTGCTGTTGCTGAAATTGTTCTGTGAATGTCAGAGAAGAACAAGCTCAGGCTCTCCTGATTACTGCATGAAAATGTGAATGTACATCAAAGGAAGTTTTAACAGTTCTCCCATGAGCTCTTCCAGCACATCTCTGAGCAAGTTTTTTTAGTTATTTGTAGAAAACATGATTTATTGGGTTGCTTTTATTCTGAATAATTTACATTCCTTCCCATTACTCTGGGAGAAACTGCTTGTTTTGCATTTTGGGATTGTATTTTAGCATATCTTTGTGTGACATTTGCAATAAATACATGCACAGACACATAAAAATAAATTTCACATGAAATATTAAGCTGTTCCAGCTCAGAAAATTGAAAACTAAAGCTTTCATAAGCATTGCACTAGGTTTTGTTCTTATCAGCTCTGTACTCAGATTTTAGGACCAGATTGGTTTTGTGGACATTCACATGGACACATAAGAAATTGGGCACAAAGACACTTCCCGCTGCCAAAATACTCTAGAAGAGAGTTTTAGGAGGGCAGACTGGTGATCATTATGTATTGTCCCATCCCTGTGAGCTTTTGGAGGAAGATGTGGGCCCTCTGCTCACTGGATCAGTAGGAAGGTAACAGTCAGTCACACAAAGCTGTTGAAAATCTACATCTTCCTGCATGTCCCAGTGGTTCAACTTCCTCCTTACCCTGCCAACAGCCCCCGGGTGTCCTGCAGAGTGCATTAACTCGTGGGGAGCAGAGAAGTGGCTTAGAACAGAAAATACTTCTTTTTTCAAACATAATGCCACCCCTACAGTTCCATCTGTATAATTCAGCCACTGGTTACTGTGCTGGCTGTACACAGTCTATGTTGCAGGTGACGCTTCCGAGCGAGCGGTAGTGCGGAAGGAAGAAATAACCGCTTTGCCGGCCGCACAAGGCTTCTTTCAAAGTTCAGCGTGTTGATTCATACAATCAGTAGTATTTAATTGATACTGCTCTCTTATCTGTTTCAGTTTATTGACAATCAGCTAAACAGTGCACTTTGTAATGGATTTTCTAGTAACTGACAGTAAAATCGCTCTTCATTTCTCTAACCATTTCCCTTTGTTCTGCCATCTTTCTCCAAACTGAAATTAAGGTGGTTCATGTTTCTTTACATCTGTAATATGAAAGCTGCAAGGTTGTGGAAACCCTTCAGTTAAATTCATCAGTGTTGTGTTTCCTTTGTTCCAATAAAGTCTACCATTCAGTATTGAAAGAAGGCGACTCTTGCTGGAGGTTACTGTCATTCTGAAAAAACAATGCAAAGAACAGTGAGAATAAAAAAAGGGAAGAACTTCTGCCATTTTAAAAAGCAGAGGAGCTGACGAATCTTGGTTTTCTAGCCTCTAGTAGTATGACTGCTCATTGTACCTGTCTTTATCTGGCAGTCGAGAAAAATGCTGTGCACGCTGAGCTATGTTTACTGGCCAGCCTGCGTTGTCCAGCTCAACATACGCTGCCTCCCGTTTGGTGATCTGAGTTTCACCTGTTTTTCCTTCTGCAGGGAAGCCCACCTGGGCCTTTCATTTCCTCCTAACCACAGAAATTTGTGAATTTCTAAAAGAACTTCATTTTCCTTCTGACCTGTATTTTTCCTTCTTGTTTACTTGAAAATGAGCAAGGGGTTAAAAAATTTTGAGGGATACAGAAAGGGCACTGACTGACAATGTCATCACATAAATCTCACATCCATAGGAAACCAGACAATTTGAAACTCTGTGGTACATGAATCAATGAAAAAGTAAAACCCTGGGCCCGTCTTGGGTCGTTGTAGTCTGTGATGGAAATACGTAGGGTCTGCTGAAGTGTGTGTGAAGTGTAGACAGTTACCAGGAATACTGTGATAAACAGTCTGAATAAGAATCAAGGTGAAGAATCAAGGTCAAGAATTCATAAAACCAGTTCTCAGATATCAGTACATTTCTGTTAAATGTATTTCTTGTCCTGACATTTCATTCTGTTTCCCGGTTTACAGAGCAGTATGAAGGCAGAGGTTCTTAACCCCATCATCAACAGTGTGCTATTAGAGGTAAGCCTTCACTTTTTTCACATTAGGAAATGTTCTAGTAAAATGATTTTTAAATGAAACAGTCCCATTTATGCCTGAAGAAAGAACTGTATAAAAAGTAATGACGGTATCGTTCTGGCTGTTCAGTGCCAGCTCATAAACCTCTCGGTTTTGTGTTCAGCCTCTTCCACAAACACTATAGTAGTAATATTGCATTTACTGGGGATTCTTAAGAACCGTGTGACTGAAGTGAGACCCGCTCTTAAATTCTGCTGCTGGCCTGGTCAGAGCACAGCAAATGATTTGCAATGTGCTGTTTAGCCCTTTTCTAACCTGTTCACAAGTTGCCTGGAGTAGGTCTGTTCTTACTGTTCCATTACCTGCTTCAAATATTGCAGAGTATTTCTGATTCACAGATAGTTTCAGACTATTCTTTTCTTTAAAATTTGAGTTGCAGGTATGCTACAGTGCTTCCCACCCACAGGCGTTCAGATTTCTGTAGATTCATGGTCTAGCAGCAGGTTTGGTCAGCACGTGGACAACCATGTGTCAGGCGTCACCAAAATGTTCATGAGTAATTCCTTTTATTAGACACCATGATCTATGAGTAACCTATTAGACACCATGAGCTGTTTTTCATCAGAAAAGCACAGTGAGTAAAATGTGCCTCAGTTTTACTGAGAAGAGGTCAAGAGGGAGTAATATACTCATAATGTACTACCTGCAGCATGAATTCTTTTAACTCTGCTAATTAGATCACACTTCTCTTTTAACATAAATAAACACATAGTAGCAACTACAAATTGTCCTTCTGTATCTAATAGCTGTGTTCCCTTAAAAATGAGGAAAAGGTTGGTTTACAATAAGCAATTTTGCATTGAATTAACACTAACTTTAGGGAAAATCATGGGACGTTGAATAGAGCTGCAGTAAGGATTACTGTATGGTTCCTTTCATTACAGGGTAAATTTGCTGTTGCAGCTGACATACTTCCTGTGCTCCAGGAATTGCAAATTCTGGGTATGTCCAGAATTGTGGAATACGATATTTTGTGCTTCTTCAATCCCATATTTGTATCCCAAATACGTAGCAGTACAGCCTGGGATCATGGAGAATTACAAGCTGCTATACTGTTCAGTATGAGAAATTCCAGAAATAGTACTACGTGTTAAAACCATTACAATAATTCAAACCGCTAATTTCAGTGTCACCTCTTCCACCTACCACAAATTCAAAATTAGTTCTGTGATGGAGAGACTGGCTGGTCTGTATTTAAAACGTCAAATCTGCTTCTGAACACTGTGGCATTTTACTCTACTCACGTTACAAACAAAACTATCCAAGAGTTCGAACTGAGGGGAAATCAGATTTGTATATAGTGATTCAGGCTATCCTTGCTAGCTGTAAACTGTTGTGGCTTATCATTTTTGTTACCTACAGATTCTAAAATCTTGTGTGAATATATATGCTCATATAGCATGGTGCAGGTGTAAAAAAAACCAACAACAAACCAAAAAACCAACAAAGAAGCATATTTAAAAAGTACAGTGTAATTCCTGAACTGCGCCCATGATGAACGACATGTTTTCTCTCCCCGTTAGGGCTGCAACAGCACTACTTACATTCAGGATGCTTTCCAGCTGCTGCTTCCAGTGCTGCAAATTTCACATATCCAGACGAGTTGTTCGAAAGCGCAAGAGTGACAGTTCCCAGCAGTTGTCACCGCTGGGCTTAACAGGAACCACAGACCTCCTGTCTGTAATGTATGAAGATAGAAGAGGTGGTACGAGAAGTGTCCGGCCACTTAGAGCCCTTCAAAGACACTAAACGCGGTTTTGCACATACGATATTGAACAACACTTTAAAACTCTTTCAGACTTCCAGACTTTAGAAGCAGTTAGTAAAGCGAGTCATTTCTTTTCCATTAGAGTATCTCCTTTGCATTAATTTAAACTGATGTTTATTGATACTGGCATTGACTTAAGTAGATTCTAAATGTTGACCCTTTCAGTTGTAGACGATGTACGAAGCACATTAGAGTATAAAGTTTTTTAAAACATTTCAGCCCCAATGACCGTTTCTATTGCTTGCATCCTAACTGTCAGTTAAAAGTGTGTATTTCAAAAGCTGGTTTCAGTATTTAATTTTAGCCAACATTGAACAAATTATCGTGGTGTTGTGCTTGTTATATATTATTTACAGTCACAAATAATAACATCGTAACAATACGTACCACTTACATAACACTTGGTGTCAGAAGAGTTGTACGGTAATAGGTATTAACTTTACTAAATGAAAATTATGGAGGATATGCCTAAAGAATTGTACTGAAAAGAAATTTTCTGAGCCAGTTAAGGGTACCGGTAAAGCTCTGTGTTTGCTGACCCACTATTTTATATTTATTTATGTCTGTTTCTTAATTCCAACAGCTGAACGACATCACAGGCCAAAGTAATCCTTTTAATATGCAAGGGGTAGAAAATTTCCCTTTTGTTTGGCAGTTGAAACACTCCCGAAATAATCTCCTCTTGGATGTGTTACCAGGTTATTAGCACTTTGGGGGTTAATTTGGGCTTTGAACATTACGAACCATTTTGTCAAATGGAGTTCCTGATACTGACAATTCGGGAATACAGGGTTGGGCATAGCAAAGAAGTTGCGAGGGAATTGCTTTGGGTGGGCAGGTCGTATGTCAGAGCAATCACCTTTTCTCTGAGGCAGCAGCTGGACCGAGCATAAACGAGCAGCCAGAATGCTGTTCCGTAACAACACTAGCAACCGCGACAATCCGTGTCCTTAGCTTAAAATCCGGAGCTGTGAGCCTCAGGATTTGTTTAGGCTAGTTTACCTCATAGACAGCAAGAACCTTCCAATATTTTATGTAGCCTGTTCTCCTGGATTTTCATTGTTTATTACATTTCTTTTAGCTATTTTGTATTTTTTTCCTCTTGATACACTCATGAATTGTATTTAAATGCTTTTCAATTGTAGTTAACATCTGGATGCATTTAATCATAGAAGCATAGTTCATACATCATAAAAACGACGAAATGGAGCATGAGGAAATACTGTCCTGTTTATTAGGAAAGAGAGACCATGTATCTGCTTTGCACGTGGTAACTTTTTTGAGTCCGAGCGAGAGGGGACAGAAGGGTCTGTTTGTGCCTTACACTATTGTGGTCCCTGTTCTGCTGGCACACACGTTGTGACTTTTCCATCTGCTGTTATTAGGAGATGAAGTTTTCACTGTCCCTGAAATAAGACTTATTATGCAAAATCTATTTTCTGCCGGCCTGTAATTTAAGAGAATTGAAATACCTTTCTGGGTAAGCAGGAGGGGTACAGCCTTCCCATCCACTTGCACAGAATGTAAAAAAACCCCCGAACTTACAGCAATGTGAACAAAAATAAGACAGCCCCTTGGCAGCTGAAAAGACCAACAAATCTTGACATTTGTGGGTATTTCTGCCGTAGGGAGCAGCTAACATTACCTCAGTGTGGGAGCAGACGGGACACAGGGAAATGCAGCCGGCAAGCAGAGTCCCTAGCCCGAGGGCAGGGTACAGCTCCCGCCGGCCGCGTGTCCCTGACACCTCGCTCTGGCATTGCTTCATGCCCGGAAGCATCATTTCGGAAGTGTGTTCCGAAGTAATGTTTAGTTGATGCAAAACATTTCAGCTCTGGCTTCTGCAGTTTGAGGGGAATAAGCAGCCTCTTCTCTAGTCATCCTGTCTGGCTGCTGGAAGAGACACACGCTCCTGCATGCCTGAGCAGGGGCCATCCCTGCATACGCACGTTGACCCAGCAGAACAGCTCACCAGGGCAGCTTGCTGAGGACCACCTGCTTGCTCTGCGCCCTTGATCGTGAGCGGGTTTCCCTTTCAAAGATCTGGACGCCAGCGGAAGCATTCAGTAGCTCATAAAAAGGCCGATTCGTTTTTTTCTGTTGTTCTGTGCTGGCAAGCAGAATATAATACCTGGTTAAAAGGTGGTTTATTTTTCAAACAAAGACTGTCAAGAAGAGTCTGGTGTTTTCACCTGTCAGCCATTGCATCCTGGATTCATTTTTACTTTAATTTGATCATTATTTTTCATTGAGAAGCCTTTCTGTCCACGTTGGAGTAGAGCTCTGCATCAGGTACCTGTAAACATCATATTGCTGACAGGTGAATCATAGAACATATTTCATGTTTCATATTGTTCCTATGCCAAGATAATGTTTTCAGACATAGTTTAATTTACTTGCTTTTTCATACAGATCTTTTTTCCTCTGAAATGCAGTGTAGAATAGATAGTGTTAAACCTGTCAGGAAAATGTGTTGACTAATAGCTGTGCCTTTTAGCAGAGGCTGAACGATATAGTATTAGAAGCCTCAGGGGATAATGTTAAAAATCATTGAGGGGCATTCTTAAGACAAGGATTGCTTGTCTGAGATATTCCTTACTAGAAGTTTCACTGTCTTGCTTAAATTATGCATGTATTGAATAAAGTACCTTACCCTGAAGTAAATGAAGCCATAAAAAATAACTTGGGGATAAATAAGTATTTACATCCATACAATGTAGGAAGGGAAACAGGGCAGAATATGAGCATCAGGACACTCCATCTGATCTTGGATGCAATCATCCTGTCCTAGGAAAACTGTTAGATCTTTAAATCAATTTTAGGTAAATAATCTTTCAGAGGAAAAGTGCTTTGTGGATGTAACCAGAACATTTTGTTTACAGTGGTTTCCTTTTTTCCATCAGTCAAATCAATCGTTTGAGGTACTGAACTGAGACAGTGTCCTTAAAGATGTTTTGAAGAATAGTGTGATGGCAGGAAGTACTCAGTGAAGTCTTTCACTTTCTGATTTTGTGAGTTACCTTTGTTGCGTTAAACTTTTAAGAGAGAGTGTCTTTTCTTTCATCGCCACATTTTTCCGGGTCAGTACCCCGAGTGTGCCTTGGCACTTGTCAAACTACTAGGTTTTAAGTACTTACGAACTAACCCAGATTGTGAAAATTACCTGTTCTTTTGAGCAGATCTGGTTTTTGTGGCATTCCGTTCCCTTTTGGGCACGCCTGTTTACGCAGAGACGAAGGAGGCAGGCTTTCGCACTCACTAGGTTGAGAAATCTGTCAAGATGAGACTGCAAACAGTGTCTGCATGCCCACAGCCTTGCGGGTGATCCGCTATTGCAGGTCATCGCTGAAGGGCGAGCTAGAAATAAACTGTTAGGCAAGTCATTTGCTGTATTTGTACATTAAAGGTATTTGCTTTTGTTTGTTTGTTTGTTTGCTGCTTTTTAGGGTGTAGTCTGTTCATGCATAAACATCTCTTCCCCATGAGTTGCTCCTGCACTCCAGCATCCATTGCTTGAGACAGCTAAACAGAACAACTGTCTCTTTCGCTTTTCTCATGCTGCTTAGATCACCCACTGAAGCCGTTAATACCTTCCTCTAAATGCGCCCCAATCATATAATACAAAATCATAGCCATTACCAGTGGAGATGCTTTTTAATGATGTTTCCAGTGCCACCCACCAGTCAGGGTCCGTAACAACTTTAGTGAGTCTGAAACGCCACAGTATTTTGAGTGACAAATACAGATTTTCACCTTTTTTCTGATTCACAGAAGTGGTTTTGTCATACAGGGAGTCTCACAGCTCATAGGATTATCTCTGAGACATTCCAGTTCTACTTCAAATGACAGCCCTGTCCTTTCTGTTAGTCTTAAAAGAATGAAAAGAGGGAAAAAGGACTTTCCAGAGTTCTTTTTAAAACCATCTCAGAGCGAGGCTTAGCATGACACCATCAGCCAGCCTGACCTACTTTGAAATTCTCGCAGTCTGACTGGAAAGCCCTCTGGAATTTAAACACTTTTTGTCTGTCTCAGGTCAACCTTTGTTGCTGAAGCGGCTTTTAGCGTGCGACCTGTACATTTTCCATGCTCTGGCTCCTACTTCAGCATTTATAATATTGACAATGGTGTGCGTTTTAGAATTAAAAAATTGGAAATAAAATGTCAAAAATTGAGCTGTATTAAAAAGATGGGAGAGGGAAAATCATTTAAAAAAAAAAAAAAAAGGTGATCTCTGGAAATCGGAACAATTTTCGAGGTTGAATTAGAGAAAAGGCTCTCTCAAAGAGTTTTTCAGCATTGTTCAGAATAAACAAGAGATGACATCTGATCGGTTCCAGCAGAACTGGAACAACGGCACTTCTGAAGTAAAATTAAAACCTGCATGAGCTCAAAGGGGGTAAGTCAACGATAAGGACGTTCAGAGAGGAGGAGCTCAAAGGAAAGAAGACAGCTAATCGGGTCACTCTGGAGCTGCAGTGCTCTTTCTCCCCTTATTGCCTGCACCCAGAAAGTCCCTGAGCACACATCCGCTAAGGACTCCTTCTTCGTCTCCCCATTTGCATCCCCTTGTCACAGCTTCCCTTTCCTGCCTTTTGCCGAGGTGCTCTAATAGACTCAAAGCAGGGCACGAGCTCTTCATTCTGCCTTTCAAACAATTTGCCCAAGGAGCGAAAGAGTATTCCTTACGCAACACCACCGTAACGTGCAAAAGGAGTCTAAAAAAACCGCAGCGAGGACTAACCATAATTCTTAGTGAACTGAATTTGCTGCTGCTGTAAAGAGGAAGGTGTGAAGACATTACTCAAACAAATGTGCGCTATTTCTCTTCCATGCTACAGGGTTGAGGCTGAAGGGCGT